AAAAAGTCATCAGCCTACAACAACCAATCAAAAACTTGCAAACTTTGCTGGAGGAAAAAAATAGCTATCATTACTTTCCCCGACCAAAATAAATTATTAAATAAAAGATCCGAGCTCATCTCAAAATGCAGGCATGAAAATAAATTTTTACTACGTAACCTAAAAAATGAAAAACGGAAAAAATAAAATAAAAACAAATACAATAATAATAATAATAATAATAAAAAAAAATAAATAAATAAATAAAATAAATAAATAAGTACTATGTTGCTTAAAAACCGAAAACCAAAAAGAGAAAATATAAAAATAAATTGACCTAAATTCATCCAAGTAAATAAATAGGCAAACCAATCCCAAATTAAAAAACTGTTCCGCCAAAAAATAATAGTTAGAATGAACTACAACAACCAACCCCAAAATTGAACAAATAGCTTTAATTAAATTCTCAAACCAAAACAAAACTGTTAAATACGTGATATAAACAAATTTTACTATGTTAATAAATAAATAAATAAAATAAGAAAAAAAAAAAAAAAAATAAATAAATAAAATAAAATAAAAAATAAATAAAAACGAGCAATATAACTTGACCCAAATAAATGAACAAAGCGACTTCCGGTAAAAATAACCGCCATAATAGAATACCCACAATGCACCACTAACCCGTATATATATAAATAGCCGAGAAAAAATAACAACACGTGGCCTGACGATTGCATATAGCATGAAACAGACTGTCGCCTCTAAGTGTTGACTTCTATGTTCACTTTATATATTTATATATATATATATATATATATATATATATATATATATATATATATAAAATGCCTTAAAAGGATTTTTGTACAAATTTCCAAACTTTAAAAAGCCAGCTGTCACTGTCCATATAATAATTTGGTTTTTGTATTACTGAGAAAATTACATTTTGTCTGTAAAGATGGAGGAATTTTTTCAGCAACAATAAACTCATTTATTCCTGCCTGCTTTTCTGACATTAGCACAGAGTTCCTTGGTGTTGGATAACGAGGACAAAGGAGACTTGTTTGGATGATAAAGAAATAAAGGGTTATCACCTAACACTCACCTGAGAGTAAAATAAATTGGTTAGGTAGATTTATCTGATCCAGCAGTCAACCTTGACAATATTTTCAGATTCAGTTTCACTTATAATTGGATGCAGTTGTCACGTAACACAATTGGATAGAAAGTAAATGTGTTATGACACAGTTTCAAATAAGACTTACAAAATAAATTCTATAATGAAATTCTTTTGAACTGTTCTTTTCACTACAAAAAGGATGAATGACCAGATTTTTAACATTGCTTGTTATATTCATCTGTTTAATTTAGGCCATCTTTTAGATTTGTTGTTATACTTTGCTATTTGAGCTATGAATATTAGATAATGTAAAGTATTCAACAATAAAGGCAACACATGCTTGGTTTGCAATTAAGATGTTAAATGTGAAATGGTAGCTTTCAATGTAAACATGTTTTTATTGGTACATTTATTTTTATTAGCATAGCTCAAGTATTTTGGTAAGAATAGTTTTCACTAATATCTTAATCAGTTAAAACTATATTCAGCAAAAACTGTGATAAAAAATGCATAATATTTTTAATTTCTCAACTCTTTGGAAAAAGTCATAGATATTGGCTCAGACTTTCTCCTTTCTCCAGCTCCCAATCAAATGTAGCAAAGATTTTAAGCTTAGTTAAGGAGGTTTGTGAATCTGTGCAGATGATTATTTTATTTTGCATGACTGATTTGAAAGTGAAGTTTTGGTGTATCTTACATAGAGAGGCTGGGCAGTTTGGCTCTTGAGCACTGTATCATCTATCCAGTCCCCCGTATATGCAAAAAAAAGTAAAACAAATTAATGGAGAGGCTGACCCTCCATTAATTTGTCCTATTTTTGGGGGTCTGACTTAAAAAAAATAAAACCTTTAAATATACTTAAAAACTGAGAACTGAACGCCATAACAACTGTTAACATTTTTATTGTATGTAGTTTTTACCATTGCCAACAATGCTGATATGAGTTACCCATTTTCAACACCTACTCCCGTCCCTCTCTAAAGAGAGGGTCAGTCTGTCTAAGACCTCCTTTTCAGTTTATAATGTCCTCTATTTTTGACAATTGTTCATATCCACTCTAATCTTTCATACCTACATGTTAAGTGTTTTTTTTTTTCTCTAAATTTTTAAACTTTAAATATCTTCATTTTATGAACTGGATTCTTTTTTCTTTTAAAGAATCTTACAATTCAAAATAATCTCAACATTTGGAATTTCCCCCACCTCCTTATGTTTCCAGTTATTGTTCAAAGGGCATATTGATGATAACCATATGCGTATCGCATGTCTTTCTCCATTCTCTGATTAAGTATTAATGATTTGGTTAGCCTTTATTTAATTGGGTCAAAGGACAAAGAAAAATTTAATAAATCAATTTTGTGTTCTGCTCTTTTATAATGGCTTTGTCTCTCCCTCTTAGGTAGCATTTAGGAGCAGACTGATGTCAAAGGTAATTAGTTGAAGAAAATATTCTATTTTCTCCAAGTTGAAGATCAAATATTATTTTGGCATTTCTTGCATATTTTGAGATTCTCCTTTTTTTTCATACTGGTTACATTTTAATTTTTACTTGTACTATTGTGAAGGATACAAAGGAAATACATAAAAAGAAAATGATCTTGTTAGACAAATTTAGCAAATGTCATCGAATTTGTAGCATTTGAATTTTTTTTTTTTTTTTTTTTTTTTTTCACTATTTTCACTGAATATTATTTTATTCAAATCTCATGTTCACAATTTTTATGGGAAAGTAAATCATTACTAGGTATTGAAGTATGGGGTGAAGCAGTGTATATCTAATATCTATCATACAACTCCTAAAATGTTTGTCTCAAAAATGCCCAAATTGCTACTAAATTGAGCAAATGGAAACTGTTTTTACAAGAAATTGTTTGAACTTTACTGTTTACTCCCATTATCTGTTCAAATTGGTGTTTGTATATTCAGTTTATGCTGCTGTTTATGCAAATTAGCTCTTGGTTTGTAATAAGAAACCTTTGTTTAGGATTGTAGTTTTTTTAACTTTAAATGTCAAGATTATTTGCTTTGTGTTTAAAAGTAAATATTTTAATTTGGAAATTTAAATTTCTTAATGACTTTGTGCTGTTTTTGTTTGTACAAAGTTCTATTCAATGAAAACAAGTCAAAAGTAAGTAAGAGCAGGATTTGAACCCATGACCAGTTTAGTCCGGCATTTTACTTTATTCTTTGGATTTGAGTTCATCAGAAGTTAAACTGAGTATTTATAATTGATTTTATTATATTTTATATTATGCTTGAGAGAGAGAAAAAAATAATTATCAGTGTTGAAAATATTCTGGCAACAGATTGTTAATATATTATGATAAATTCATTTTATATGTGCATTTTCCCCTCATAGAATACTTAGCTCTGGTGTCAGTTGACTTTGGAAATTGTAGTCAAAAGATTTTGTAGACAGTTTTGTTTGCCCTTTCCTTGCTATGTTCATCCCAATGTTTGATATATTTAAACATTGGCCAGACATTATCTGGTATGTAGAGTTTGGCAGCTCTGTGAACTGGTCACATAATGAGATTGGGATTTTTTTTTTTTTTTTTTTTTTTTTTTTTAAAACAATTATTGCTTATTATTACTGAACTGTACTTTTCAAGTTTTTAAATTTGAATTGTCTTTAGGTATTTTCATTAATTTTTCTAAAACACTAATTCTACTATTCAGGTTTATGTTTAGGTTTTATGCCTATTCCAAACTAATATCTGAATGACTAAAGTTGTGAATTAATGTCAAGAACTAATAGGAACTAATTAGGTTTAATTCAATTTGGGATTAATATCTTGGGAGTAAATTGAAAATAGATCTTTTGGCTCAAATTAGAATAAATATGTTCAGTAAATATTGTCATGAATTGTTGCTTTTTCTCTTAATGTGTATAATATTAATGTATTATAATTTAAAAAAATATATAAACCTCTTGAAACTTTTTTTTACTGTATTCTAAGATGGTTACTGAGAGCTTGAAAGCTAGAAACATGATTATGATCAGATTTCATGAAATGTTAATTTAGAAAATAAATTTCTCACTGATTATTAAATCATTTGGTGGTTGTTGTTGACTTCACTATTAATGCAGACTGAATTACTAACCTTTATTTTTCTTCAAGGTCTTACTTAATTTTGTTCATGCAAATACAAGGATGGATCTGTGGACTGGCACAATTATTAGCTAAATTTTGATCTGAAATTTTCATTGTATGTTTGAACTCTGTGGAGAAGTATTGACTAAAGTACAGTGGCATTAATGAAAGATATGTTGAAAAATATAAGTATTTTTTCTCTATCATTTGGCTAACTGATGAACTATAGAAATTACATAACCCATATAGTCATCAATGAAAGAACTAGTTAATTATTAAGAGAAATGTCTTCATAATATAGAAGTTTCTGCTTATGTCATTTAAAATCTGATATATAGGTTTACAGTTGAATTGACTAGATGTAATCAGAAGTTTTATGCTTGTAACTCTCTTCCGGTTTCTTGCTTTCAAAACAAGATTGATCTTCAAAAATGTAAATGCAATATCAATCATTATCTACTACCTTCCTGATTACTCTTCTATTGTTTGTCAGTAATGCTTCTATTTTCTAATTCTCTCACATCCAGTAACCTCTTGTGTCTTAGTGACTTTATTACCTTACTTGGGGTGAATTCAATTAATATATATATATATATATATATATATATAATTTTTTTTTTTTTTTAAAACAGTTTTATTAATGTAGGAATATGTTCAATTTTTAGTCTTGAAATCTTTTCTGTCATGTTTTCTCCACATAAATAACTTTATATTATAAAAATTTTATAACTTTATGTCCCAAAACTTATGTGATTGCACTTATGCAAAATGAAAATTTCTGTCAAATGCTTAACTAAATGTAAATGTCTTTCATAAAACTTTATAACCAATTTATTGAACAGATTGTGTTCTTTTTTGTAGCACCTGTCTGACCCAGCATTACTGCAGGGTTAGCTGAAGCACACTCACTTTGTGACAGATTGACACCTGAATGTGGAGACTTCAGCTGCTTGCTTGCAGAACTTTGAAGCAACCGTGACAAGGTGAGTTGCAGTTGCTTTATAAAAAGACTTCCATTGTTAAAAAATTGTGTAGTCTTTCTTCTTTTTCTTTTTTTTTTTTTTTTTTTTTTTTTGCCATTCCTCATCTTAGATGCACATTGTTAAAGAATTTTTCCCCTGCCAGTTTGTTTAAAATTTATTCGTAACTAGGACTTCGCCCCCACCAAAAAAAAAAAAAAAAAAAATTATTAAAATCTCTATTGATGCAATCATTGCTCTTTATTTCATTGTAAATTTTGTGGGTTCATTTTCTTTTTTTTTTTTTTTTTTTTTTTTTGCAACAGCTGATTTTCATAACAGAAAACTTAACACAGCAATGTATGCTTTTTTTTTTTTTTTTTTTTTCAATGAGCATAAATAATTTGGCATTACCTCAACACCATTGTTTCTTTCAGTGATGCATTTCTGGTTAAAAGAATAGAATTTATTATTAGTCATCATTTAAAAATATTTTTTTAATGGAACTCAAAGCTGGTATTTCTTGTCTCCTTTTCCCACCAACCTTCACTGTCTTCTTGTTAATTATGTTAATGAATACAAACCAATTTCATTGAATTCTTTATATTTGCATTCAAGGACAAATTCTTAATTATTTAATTTTAATGTTGAAAAGAAAATGCCTAGTATCAATGTGACATTAGTATTTTCTAAATGGTTCTATTGGTTAATTTCTTGTTTAGTTAGTAAAGTGATATTATGTACGTGATGTTAGCTTGGTTCTTTTGTTATGAAAGTAATGCAAGAAAACATTCCTTGCATAATATTTGGCAGTTTTTTAATTGGTTGATAATTAATAACCCATCAATTCAATCTAGTGCATGTGTCTGAAGGCTTAAAATCTAATTATTTTGCTAAGTTGGAAAACAACTTGTTTTATTTTACATTGATTCTATTTTTGAAATTTTATTTATGACTTTCTTCTGTGGCCCTTGGCAAGGCGAGTTTTAAAGGACATTATAAATTTTTTTTATGGTTTAATTATTTTCTGTAACCTATATCTGGACTGATTGCATCCTATTGCCTTGTATATTTAAATCTCTCTCCAGTCTTATTAGATATTAATTGTGGATGCAGGTGGTATAAGTGAAAGACCATTTAGAAAAGCTAATGAACAAAAAAGCCACAAAAAAATCATAAAATACATAAGGCATTTATTGGGTAAGGAAGCTGTTGATGAATTATTGCCTTCAGGCTTTGTACATTAGTTGTAGAAAAGCAATTGTTTTATGTGTTAATTAGTGGCCATTTAATAAACTCTAATCAATATCTATTCCTTTAGGAGAAAAGCTAAAGTCTCTGATTTTTGAGTTTCCAATGTACCTCATAAAAGGAAAATAATTTTGAAGCAAATAAAAAAAAAAAAATGGATAAAACTGGGTCACACATGGGTAACGTAATTTGATTTTGCAACTTTTGCTATTGAGTTGACATTCTGCTTCAAATGCTTTCATTTTTATTGGCTAGAGCTTGTGATTAACTTTTTTTTTTTCTTAGTAATTTAGAAGACTTCAATTTGATTATTTGCCTTGTCTTTTATTGCTGCTGCTTAAGAATAACAGAGAAATCAAATTAAGTAGTAGAAAGTTTGTGAAGTTCTACAGTTTGGGATTTATTTGACTCGGCATCTTTCCTCTTTTTGCCTGTATTCTCAGATTATTTTCATATTGTGTATGAATTGCTTAAAAATGTAAGAATATAATGACCTGTATATGCAGGAACATGCAAAAGTATTTGATGCATGTTATTTTTAAAAAAAAAAAATAATAATTTCCATTACTGCTATTAACCTAAACTTAATATAATATTATTGATGTACAATATATAAGAAATAATGAAATATTTGTCTATGCATAAATTTATTGACAAATCCAACAAAGTAACACTTGAATGTATTCTGAAAATATAGAGGAAAAGGGATGAAAATCATAGTTTGGGATTGAATTCTATACAAATTATTAATTTGCAAATTTCTGTTGACCAATCAGACCACACTTATGCACCATGACTGACAATTTGTGTCTGTGTATTTTGAATGGTCATTGAAGATCTAGCTGGCATGTGCAGCAACTTAAACAATGATAGATTTTTTTCAAGAATTTCATGAGGTGATAATTGACCATCATAATTGTGGAATGAGATATCAAAATTTCTAATGAGCTTAAGATCCCTGTCAGTATGATTTAGAAAATGGAAAGAACATGACCTGATAACCAATCTACCTTCAAACAATAAAAAAAAAGTAAACAAATGAACAGTTATACATTAATTGGAAAATAATGCACAAAAGTGAGCAAGGATACAATTAGTTGGACTCTTTACCTGATAGAATTGCTTTCTCTGATTTCTAGAAAATACCCACCACCTCTGCTGAAGTCCACACATTTGAAGGCAGTTTGACAATTTTCCAAGAAGTCTTTTTCAGGCAAAATATTATGGTCTGATGAGATTAATAATCAAACTCTTTGGTAGAAACTGTTCTTATGACCCCAAAATACCATTCTGATTTGGGTTTATTCTGACAACTATGATTTTTGGGTTTGGTACAGACACACATTTCTTTCCCTTTTTAAATCATTTCATCCCAAGCAAGGCAATAAATCCACTAAGATGAAAAGGGTTACTGAGTGTTAGAGAATATGAGGAAAAAAAACTTGAACAATAAAAGAACAAGAATTAAGACAGAAGATAACAATTGACATTGCATTTAAATTTTCGAAGATAAAAGTTGACTGGGAAGCTGGAAGAGTCCCACAAGCAAGAAGTGTGATAGAAGAAACTATTAGCATAGAACTTACAGTTACATCTAGCCATTTCAAGTGTAAAATGATGAGACCTTGTCCCCAATCTAGCACTGCAAATTCATAAAGTCTCTAGATACTATAAATTGTGATTATTGTGAAAGTATTTATAGAACATGCACAAGGGAGCTATGTTATGGCGGTGGGGAAAATGACTGGAGCTGAGATGCCAGGTTAGGAGCAATAACATTGCAGATTCTTTGGATTTTATCAAGAATCTCTAAATATATATCTATTGCTGCTACATATGGTCTGGCACCAGACCAGATGTAGCAGCAATATTCAAAGCAAAGAAGAATAGTAGACTTATAAATAAGACAGATTCTGGTGAGAAAAATTGGCTAGCATGATCCGGTGAACTAACTTTCTAGCAACAAACGTAATAACTGATTCGATATACTCTCTCCACTCCATATAAGTGGAAAACGTTAGTCGAGAAGGTCACAAGGAGTCACTCTTCTGGGGGTTAGCATCAACCATGCCGATGGAAGATAAAAAGGGTTCTCTTAGATAATTAAGAAAACAATTTTGTCTCACTAGTATCAAAGGAAACTCGAACTACCAAGAAGTTTTTTTTTTTTTTTCTCTAAAAGATATTGGAGTAGTAGCATTGGTCAAATAAAGTTTTAGGTTTCTAGCCAGTTGCCTGACCTAAATTGTTAAGAAAATCTGTAAAAGACTCGTAGAAATTGACAATTTCTGTTTACTTCAAATTATTCCAAATATCTGATATCCATCATATCAAATAATGAATATGATATTAAATACAGAATTCTTTTTATTGATGTGTGTCCAAAACTTTTACATGTTACTTTTTTGTTGTTTTTTGTTTATAAATTTATCTTTAGGTAAACATTTCTTATGCATAGTAAATCATTTGTATTTATTATATGCAACTAGTTTGATGTTAGTAGCAATAAATCCTCTTATATGTTTGATGTCATTTTTGAAATGACTGAAGACACCTTTTAAAATATTTACAGGTGTTACTTTGGGATCACATTTTGTGAAAGTTGAGTTTTGCTTGGATGTAGACATTAAAATATTTTATTACTGTACATACTTGTGTATCATGTGAACTTTGAAGACCTAATTTTGAAGCTAATTTGACTCCAATAAATGGATATATAGTTTGGTCAACTGTGTAGCCAGGGTCAGCAGTACATGTGCTAATTTTTATATCTCATGTATGATGCAACCCCCTTAAAATTATCTTCAAAATTAGGTCTTCAAAAGTTGCATGATTCACAAGTATATATGGTATCCTTTTTTTTATTTACTTGATACTTATTTTTCTTAAGGTTTCTTGTGGAATTCAAAAGAATTCCTAAGTTGTATTTGCAATAATATGAAATTATATATCTTGTCAGGGTTGTGTATTTTCCTAACATTTATGACTCCGAGGCCAACATTATAATCTTTGTTGCCAGATTTTGTGATCTCTATTTAATAATAATCTTGTTATCATTGGACAAAATCATTCTCGAATTACTTGTTTGCTGTGTAATTTATTTATTTTTTATTTTCTGTTCCTATTACTATGTGTATATCTTAAAAATTACATATTTTTATGATTATTAAGTTATCAAAGTGCCATAGAAAAAGCCCCTGCCATTTTGTTTTTTTAATATTTGATTTTTAAAGTAATGATTATTTCCAAATGTGAAAAGTGCATACTTGAAATTTGGGTCAACTTGAATGAGTGAAAGTAACATTTTTATGATCTTTGTTGTGTAAATTTCTGTTTTAGGCCCAAACTCTTGTTTGAACAATTAAATAAGTCAACTTTGTGTGTGTGAGAGATAGAGAAAGAATGTTATTTACACATAGAATTGGCTCACTGGTAAAGCATTATAAGTGTAGTGAAATCTTTCTTTTTCTCGTATTTTGTATCCTCTAAGGATTTGGACTTCCACAAATTATCATTAAAATGTAGTGCTACTTTGCAGCACTCACATTACCAGTTTTCTTGTACAGGAGTTTTTAACAAACAGCTGATTTGTTTACATTAGCATTGTGGAGATATATATATATATATATATATATATATATATATATATATATATATATTGTTGTTTTTTTTTTTTTAAAATATATGATCATCGCAACACCAAAATTCCCATGTTTCAAAACAAACTTCAATTTACATTCAATTATACATAGGTACCTTCATGAGATCTCTAA